AGCATGCTTTAGACTGTCACAAGTTGTTTTGAATGGCATGCCCTATTTAATTGCTTTCTTTTATGTAATAACTTACTGGGTTTTGGGCTGGATTGTTTCCATTTTTGCTGTAAGCCTGTTTGGATCCTGCCTTGAGGAAAAGGCAAAATAGTTGCAGTTTTGGCATAAAAGTTAGGGTTTGGGGGGTAAAAGTTTAAGTATAATAATAATATTTAATATAAATGAAATAAATCATCAAAAGATGGTTTAAGCAGAACCACATTTTTATCACCTATTTAAGCAACTTGTAGAAAATGATGTGCCGAGAGAGAGAGGTTGCTGAGGCAAGGATCTAGATCAGGGGTCCTCAAACTTTTTAAATGGGGGGCCGGATTACTGTCCCCCAGACCGTTGGAGGGCCGGACTATAGTTTTTTTTTAAAAAAAATGATGACCAAATTCCTATGCACACTGCATATGTCCTATTTTGCTACTGTTATGAATTGTAATGTAAATATCTGATATGCATGATGTATTTTTATTGTTACAATCTGAACATAAAGCATGGTTTTAGCATTTCTGGAGATAAAATAGTTCCAATTAAAATGAGGAAAACATTCTATTTTCTGTCTTTTTGAAAGTGGTTTTTGGAATATGTAAGCATGAGTCCCCTTTCAGGGGGAGAAGGGCAGGGTATAAATATAGGAAATAAATCTATATAAATAAAAATGTAATGTTCGTTTGTGGGATTAACAGAACTCAGAAACCACTGGATACCTAACAACCCAATGTATGTCCTCCACTCAAAAAAAATTTGATTTTGTCATTTGGGAGTTGTAGTTGCTGGGATTTATAGTTTACCTATAATCAAAGAACATTCTGAACCCCATCAACGATGGAATTGAACCAAACTTGACATAGAGTTCTCCCATGACCAACAGAAAATACTGGAAGGGTTTGGTGGGCAGTGTCCTTTGGTTTTAGAGTTGTAGTTCACCTACATCCAGAGATCACTGTGGACTCAAACAATGATGGATCTGGACCAAACTTGGCACTGATACTCAATATGCCCAAATGTGAACACTGGTGGCATTTGGGGGTTGTATTTGCTGGGATTTATAGTTCACCTGCAATCAAAGAGCATTCTAAACTCCACCAATGATGGAATTGAACCAGTCTTGGTACACAGAACTCCCATGAACAACAGAAAATACTGGAAGGGTTTGGTGGGCATTGACCTTGAGTTTTGGAGTTGTAGTTCACCTGCCTCCATAAATCACTGTGGATTCAATGAAAGATCTGGCCCAAACTTGGCACGAATATTCCATATGCCCAAATGTGAACACTGGTGGAGTATGGGGGAAATAGAATCTTGACATTTGTGAGTTGTAGTTGCTGGGATTTGTAGTTCACCTACAATCACAGAGCATTCTGAACCTCATCAACAATAGAATTGGGCCAAACCTTTCCAGAGCAGCGCGGGATGGAGAAGCCTGTGGAGGGAGAAGCGCTCTCTGCTCTCCCACGGAGAACAGAGAGCGCAGCAGAGTGGACGCCATTCATTCCTCTGTAACAGACGATCCCTGGTGGCAAGGAAGGCGTGCGCAAATGGTGGAGGCGGCGCCGGGTGGGCGTGGCCAGGCTTCCAGGCGAGGGATGCCAGCATCGCTTGGCCACGCCCACCCGGCGCCGCCTCCACCATTTGCGGACGCCTTCCTTGCCACCAGGGATCGTCTGTTACAGAGGAATGGCGTCCGCTCTGCTGCGCTTCTCCCTCCACAGGCTTCTCCTTCCACACGGGATGGAGAAGCCTGTGGAGGGAGAAGCGCAGCAGAGCGGATGCCATTCCTCTGTAACAGAAAATCCCTGGTGGCGCGAATGGTGGAGGCAGCGCCGGGTGGGCGTGGCCAAGCGATGCTGGCATCCTTCGCCTGGAAGCCTGTTACAGAGGAATGGCGCCCGCTCTGCTGCGCTCTCTGTTCTCCGCGGGAGAGCAGAGAGCGCTTCTCCCTCCACAGGCTTCTCCATCCCGTGTGGAAGGAGAAGCCTGTGGAGGGAGAAGCGCAGCAGAGCAGACGCCATTGGCGGCGGCAGCGAGGGGCTTTGGACGGGCCGCGCGGCGAGGGGCTTTGGACAGGCCAGGACAGGCCGCGCGGGCCGGATAAAGGCCCTTGGTGGGCCGCATACAGCCCGCGGGCCGTAGTTTGGGGACCCCTGATCTAGCTGATGGTCAGTTACTATATCCCCAAGGAAGGCTGCATATAAAGAATTTGCCACAGGAAATTTCATTTTCATCCTGAATTTCTATGTAAGAAACTTAAATATACCCCCCCACACACACACACACACTTTTCCCCCCCTAATGCTTGTAAGCAGAGTTTGAGACAACTGCATTCATAGCTGACTGAAATGTCTGGGGAAAGTGTGTACTGATGATCATTAAAGAGAGTGAGCAATGAAATAACAGTATGAAATAACAGATTTGCTTTAAATAGGACAGCTGCCCTGTTCTCCTCTTACTTGCTTTATGCTATTCATTATTTATTTGTTTCCAGGTGTTTATGATCCAAAGTATTGTTATTGTTAACTGCCTTCAAATTGATGATGACGTATGGTGAGCTTATGAATGAATAATCATGACATTCTTTATCCTCAACAGCCTTGCAGTTTCAGAACTGTGGCTTTCTTGATTGAGTCTAGCCCTCTGGAACACTGTCTTAGGGCCCTTCTAGACAGGCCCTATATCCCATGATCTGTTTATCCCAGATTATCTGGCAGTGGGGATTCATATAAACCAGTTTAAAGCAGAAAACCTGGGATCAGATCCTGGGAAATAGGGCCTGTCTGGAAGGGCCCTAAGACAGTGTTCCAGAAGATGATACTTAATGAAGAAAGCCACAGTTACTCTTGTGTTACTGCCCTTCACTTTACCAAGCATTATAGTATTTTCTAGTGAGTCATAACTTCTCGTATGATAGCCAAAGTACAACAGCCTCATTTTAACCATCTCGGGCTCTTCCACACTTTATCTCAGGATCTGATCCCAGAATATCTGCTTTAAACCAGATTATATGAGTCCCCACTGCCAGATAATCTGAGACAAACAGATACTCTTGGGTCCCTTCCACATAGCTGAATAAAATCCCACATTTTCTGCTTTGAACTGGAATATATGGCAGTATGGATTCAGATAATCCAGTTCAAAGCAGATATTGTGGGATTTTCTGCCCTGATATTCTGGGTTATACGGCTGTGTGGAAGGGCCCTGGCATCAGATCCTGGAATATAGGGGCAATGTGGAAGTGGCCTTGGTTTCCAGGGAGAGTTCAAACCTGGTTTGTTCCAGGACCCATTGATTTGTCTTTTTACCAATATCCACATAATTTTTTTTCCAACACCACATTTCAAATAAATAGACGTCCTTATCAGCTTTCTTCAACATCCAGCTTTCACAGCCATACAAGGAAATGGAAGTAACAATGGCATGGACCATCTAGCTTTAGCATTCACTATCTATCTATCTATCTATCTATCTATCTATCTATCTATCTATCTATCTATCTCTACAATACAGAATTCTGACTAGTTCCTTCATAATTTCCCTTTTGAGTCATAGCCTTCCTCTGATTTTTGACTGCATCCCCTTTGATTACTGATTAAGCCAAGGTATGGAAAATCTTAAAGTGCTGCACCAATAAAAGGTAAAATACATACAAAACACTAATACAAAGAACACAACACCTTTTGAAGCATAAGAAATAGAGCTGAACTGAACCACTAGTGAAGGCTTGTTCAAATAAATATGACCTCAACATGTGTTGGAAATTAAAGGCCATGGAGGTATGTCAGATAGAAGAACATTTGACATCACAAGGGCCACTCCACTAAATCTCTGCTCTGGGATATTGCCAAGTGGACATAAGGAGCATATGGCACTACTACAATGATGTCTACCAGTCTGCAAAAAGTCTATTGAAGTTGTGCGTCTTACCTTGATTTCTTCAGCTTTGACATATTCTAGTTCTGTTTTTGTCATGAGAAATGCATCTCATTAAAATGGGCTCCCAAAATGAAGGGCATCATATCCTATTGCATAGACATCCTGGCATGGATTTAGCCCATAAAGAGAAAAATCACGTGGTGTACAAATGAATCCACAAAAGATTCCTTTTGGTGAGGTGTAGACCATGAATGGGGGTGCAGGTTCTCATACCTTCAGTAAAAATATGCGTCTATGAGCCTTCTGTTTAGCTGCTAATACCAGTTATTCAGTTCTATGGGAGAAATTTGAAAGGGCATTACATCTTGCTTATTTTCCCTGCTGACTCCACAGCTTAAGCCCATGCCAATCTGAATAGTCCGGTCCCTATTTGCATCATTGCAGAGTTCTTTGAACATTTTGGGGAATGGTATATATCTATTTCCATATGTATTAAAGGACAGCACATGATTTTAGAAAGAGGAATGAAACATACAGATGTCAAGCCCTTAGCTGGTTGACAGGCATGATAAAGATGCCAATACAGCCTTTATTGGTGGATTGTAGGACTGGGCTGCTAGAAGGATCCTGCTCTCAGCTAGGAATTCTAGTTGCCCCTATAGTACATTAATAAGAAATAAAAATAATTGAATGGTGTCCTCTTCCTTCACTTAGATTTACATTGACAAAACAAATGTCTGTTCCCTAAATGTTTCTAAATCCCTTAAGAGATGGGGAGAGTGGGAAGAAAAAGCTGTTAACTGCCACACAGACTGAACCTCTGAAACAATCCCTACAAACTGTCTCTCACCTACTCATTGCCACCATCAGCAGCAGCACCCCAAGCTTCTCTTTCACACAGATCCAGCCACAATATTATCACATCTCGTGAATGTGTTCTCCTAGCCTTTGTACTTAGCCTCATGCAGCCTGGATCCCTTTACAGTGGGGCTAGGAAAATAAGAAACAGACCCTGAAGAAACCAACCTGTGAAGAGAAGGTTAATTATGGGCAGAAGAAGAAAATCAAGCAGGTTCTCTTCTCAGTATCTCCACCCGCTCCCTTATTTGCCTTCTGCTCTGTCTCTGTACCCTTTGGGAGCAATTTGTGTCTTTCTTCCCCCATCATTGTTGTAATGACTGAGGCTGTCTCAGAGTGAGTGACACCAAGCTAGCAGCATCCCCTTGGGTCTCAAGAGCCAAGCAACCCTGACCTGCTAGAGGACCTATTGATCTGTGACGGAAGAGCAGAGAGCTCCTTCAGTTGGAGTTCGCCACTTAGGGATTGGCAGCTGGATTACAGGCTTCTCCAGGATCCATCCAAAGAATGTGTGTAGTGTGGGGGCGTTGGTGGCGGTGGATTTTATGGGAGATGCTCATGGCACATCGGGAAGGAGGAGACCCTCTAGAAAATGACAGTTAAATGAGGGAGGGAGGAGAACTAGTGTTTCATGGCTGGTGGTGAGATCAGCCATGAGAAGGGAATGTACTTGATGGAAGGTTGTACTCTGTGTATGTGTCTAATAAGAAAGAAGGAGAAGTGCCTGTACACGGTGTGACTGTGTGTGTGTGTGTGTGTGAGCATGCAAGTGCTGGAGGAAGAGGAGGGGGGCTCTCTCTTTCTCTCTCTTCCCGTGTCTCTCTCTCAGTGTCTCTCTCTCTCAATGTTCAGTTAATCCTGCTGTCAGTTGGTGTTAAGGCAGCGATCTAAGCGCTGGATTCCAAGAGAAAGAGAGAGGCAGCATCGCAGAAGGAACAGAGGACCAAAACAAAGGAGTGGGGAGGAAGAAAGGAAAGAAAACCACAGAAGAGGGAGAAAATACCAAATCTATGCTTGGATCTGTGCTTCTTTCTCGCCAATGCAAAAGGGAATATGCAGCACATTTTTGCCTTCTTCTGCACCAGTTTCCTAGGGGCAGTGTTGGGGGTCAATTTCCCCAGCAACATCCAGATAGGTAAGTGTGGAATTGTTCCCTGCCTGTACTGAATGGATGGCTGTGTGAATGTCTGCATTTGTGCATTAGAGAGCAAAAGAGAGGTGAGCCATCCTTTGTTTTCACTTCTGAAAGAAGGCATCTAGGTCTAGGGTTGATGAATGTTGAATTTATGTAGGGGTCCCTAATATGGGGTGCACCTGTTCAGGTTGCTTTGTACGTGGCTAGGGAACATGCCTGCTGTTCAAGTGCTTCTGAAAGCAAGTGTTCGCTCTTTGTACCTCCACCTGAGACCCTACATCGCATCAGAAGGCAGTTTGGACTGAAAACCACATTGCATTTTCTCCCTCCCTCCCCCCTCATTTTTGGGGGTATTTTCTTAGGTACCTGTCAAGAAAATCAGGCTGCTTTCTATTTCTAGTCTTTGTTACTGCAGCTGTTAAACAAAATTCAAGCGATACTAGGAAGACATTGCATTCAGCCTCTTTTCATTACATGCCTCACCTACTCTCAACATTCACAACACACTCCCCTCATTTTCATTTGCCTCCTCCTCTCACAAATCCACCACCCTGCAGCTTCTCCCCATGTTCACAGCAAGCAGCATTTCCTACTGGAACCATTCCTTTTTGCCTCACTCCTTTCTCTTTGCCACCTCAATTGCTGGCTCTTTGTCATCTTTGGGGAGGGGGAAAGGAAGCAAGAAAACTCGCCTCCTGGGCTACACTCCCCCCCCCCCACTTGTTTTGCAGGATCTGTGCTTTTATTGCAGTTTGACGCTCCCTTGCCTGCCAGCATCCTTGTTTTCCAAATTTTTTTCTGTGTCTCACCATGTAACAAAAGGTGAGCTTGGAAAATTAGCATGCTGCCGTTTCTCACACCTTCCTTGGCAACCACATCCAAGTGTGATTTTGTATTGTTATTTTATTTTATTTTTGGTACACATGCTGCTTTGCCTTGCGCAGTAGCAAGAGCGGGGCACGTTGTTGAACATGTCGACTCTCCTAATTGGTGATGGACTGCATTTAATTAGTCTAATTTCTTGCTTTTCTAAAAGCAAACATCATAGAAAATGATGAATAGAAATGTTAACAAAATCATCATCATTTTCATCTTCATCATTAGCATATAATTTTATCCTCTATTTTTGCCCCATTTGCACATCTGTAGCAAGAGGAAACAGAACACGTTTTCCATTTCTGTCAAATCCAAAGGTAGCAATATAAAGATCAAAAGTGTTTTACAAACTGGGTTTCAAAGTGTAAGGACATAATTTTGAGCCAATAAAATCTGTCAGAAACACAGTAGATTGGCGGTAAGGAAAACACTACTTTAGTCCATCACACATTTCTTGGTTATATTTGTAAAAGGGGTAACAAATTACATTCAATAAACAGACCTCACAAATTTCAGAATGGTCTTCCTTGTTATATCATTCTAATCCTGTTGACTGATAGCCTCCCTTACCATATAGAGTGTACATAAAGAATATGGATCAATTATATATGTCCCATTGCAACAATAATTTGGTCAGTCCTTACTCCTCCTTTGTACAAGGTTAGATGTTCCTTGAATAATAACAGGTTTGTGTCCCTTTCTTAGTTCTCTTTCAGTTCAACAACAACTTGTTGAGTAAACATCAGCTCAGTGTGGCCAATGGGACAGATTCGTATCCTATAAAGGAATTAGGGAGGGAAAATGAAGCCCTTTTGGATGGATGATGTTAATTTCCTCTTTCCTTGGTAGAGCTCATTTTAACCCTTAAAGTGTTGACAAGAAAGGAGGCCTGAGGAGACCCTACATGTATAAACACAGAGACCCCATTACCGTGTTTCCTACCCTAATCAGTTCATGTTGTGTGAACATACTGGGCATCTGGGATATTTAGAATGTCTGAAGGAGCAAATGGTCAAAATATATCATTTTTATCCTTTAAAGGTACAATATGTCTTTCTTCTTGTGCTCACAGTACTGTCCTTCAGGAGTTGTGTTCTTTTCAGAAACTTTTCGTTCATGGTGGGAACAAAACAAAATCATGCAAGAGCTACCAGTATATGTCAATGTTGAGTTCAAGAAGGTCATGGTCATGTAATGTTCAACTTCTGATTTGTCTTCCATATTCTTCTTTCTTTTATTTCCTAGGGGGATTATTTCCTACACAGCAATCCCAGGAACATGCAGCGTTTATGTTTGCATTGTCTCAGTTCACAGAACCCCCCAAACTGGCTCCCCAGATTGATATTGTGAATATTAGCGACAGCTTTGAAATGACCTACACCTGTAAGTAGCAGTTCTACATCAACAGTCCCCCTCTCTCTCCTTGTCTCCCCACCCCTCTCATTCTTTCTTTCTCTTCTCATATTTTTATTCTCTTGGTTTCCTTCTCTTTCTCTTCGGCCTACTTAATTTATGTGGGGACATTGCTTTAACAGTAATACTCTCTTTAAAGATATATATATAATGTGACATTTACAAGAAATATTCTCTGTATTCTGCCACCAGTCTTCTTTGACGGTTTCTTTCTTTGTAGAATTTAGGGAGATTTTTTAAACTAGAAGTAGTATCTTTACGGATGCTTTGCTGCTTTTAATTTTGGATTAGGGATTTGGGGTGGCTCAACTGTGTGATTTGTACAGCCCTGAAAAGATGGTGGGATGCATGGATTATTCAGTTCATTTTTTTCACCTTACATATACTGCAATTTTTTAAAGGGCAGCTAACAGTTTCCGGGGTTAGCCAGAAGTGCATTAAAAGTCAGACCTAAAACTGACAAGATAATCAGTAATGAAAGCAAGGTGAGAGGTCTACACTCAAACAGTTATTCTTAGATTTTTATATCCTAAGACAATAAAGTGTTGCTGAGAATTAAAAAAAAAACAAGCAAAGGTTTTCACAATAGTCTATGTGAAATACTGCATCAGAAATTGGTATGAAGGATGGTGTTATGTGATGCCAGCCGAATGGATGTCAATACAATATTTTACTAGATTGATCATCAGTGAGAACATGCATTTTTAAAAAGACAAGAAAACACAACCTCCACCATTAAAATGGGAACGCTATCAGATTATGAACTCTGTAAATATATGCTCTCCTTCTCACAGAAAAGGGCTTGATTTAATAATGCAGGAATTCTTTTGTTCACCACTTTGCTGTATAACAGAGGGTTGTAGTGTCTCACATTTTAAACTAATTGGGACCACTCAAAAAAATCGTACTTTTGAGCTCTACCTTTTGTTCTCATTTACAAACTAGAAATGGAATAAAGTCTACTTTGCACTATTATCCCAGATGTCTGCATAGATAGTTTACAAGTTACTATACTTAAGAAGAAAATCACTATTATAGATGAATAGGGTTTTTTTTCTATGTGAATATTGTGACATGATGTTAAGGAAGAATGACAAAAGCAGAAATATGTTTATCTGTCTTACCTATAGTGGTGTTGACTACTAGAATATGAAAACACTAAGTTCTAGGTTATGGTTCATATACACAGTAGAACACAACTAAAGAGGAATGTGACTTCAAGGTGAGAAGATGAATTCAAACTGCATGTCTTGGACAAATATCACCCCAGAAAGGAAACCTTAATGGGAAGACTGAAATGTTGACTTTGCGGAATACAAACTATTGAAGTTAAAGAAATTCTATCTTAAAAAAACAGGGATATAGTGATACTAAAATTGCTAAATACTGTGATAATTAACAGCCATTATTAAGGAGAAAATGTTATATTTGATGACAGAATTTTGACAAATTTGAATGAAACAGTTTGCTCTTCGATATGTTACTTTACATAGTTCTTGCTTTTCTGGTTATAACCAACCATGATGGCATTTGAGCTTACCATACCTTGAGTTATGGTCTCCTGGCCAGTTATTGGGTCTAGACCTATGATTTTCTATTTCCTTTCTGTTCCTAATGGTGCTTAGGTAACCAGTACACAACTGGCATTGCGTTCACAATGACAAGTTATATGTTATACAATTCCCATAACCTGCAATAACTGTGATCAGTTTTATATTAGAAATCAGGTTTATGTAGAGTGCTTTGATCCATGGAACATTTTGCCCACATCAACTTCCATAATTAAAAGCTTCTATAATTTTATTTAGTCTTCAGTAACCACTGCTCTTAAAAACAAAGTGGGGCATTGATGGTTGTATCTGTACTTCTTCAATTTAGTTCAAACGTTACATAATCCACAGTCTTCTTCTCCCCTCTATTTCCTATAAACACTAATAGAAGTGCATAAATTCACCATGATTTTGTTTTGACCACTCTGCATAAAACTCCTGTGGCTTTGGTGAGTTCTTTCTTATTCTAAAGTGACATAAATACTTTTATCAGAAAATAAGTAGTTTGTGTCCCCAGAGACACAAAATACATTTGTGTGTTTGTTTGTTTTTAGTGTGTCATGTGAATTATCTTTCATCCCCAAATATCTTGTAAATATTGAATTAATTTCCAATTATCAGTTCAATTGAGGATTTGTTACCAAAACAAGGAGTTCTTATTACAAAGATTCTATGAGGAAAAGGTGGTGTATGTGTGTGTGTGTTCTCAATACCCATATTTCTTTGTAGAACAAATGTGGAGAATGACATCACATCAATTCAGAAAAGGAATTGAGTATGACCTAGTGTTTAGACTTCACTTGTCAATTCTACTCCTGTAAATGTTGAGGGTATCATTTGTACCCTAACTGGCTTCAAAAATCAGGTGATAACCTGATGTAGGTAGAAAATTTCTTCACAGGAGTTTTTGCAGAAGGCTAGAATAGAAAAGAATAGAAAAGAAGATATACACTGCTTATTCCTAGTCTCTAAACTTCCCTGGGTTTTTTTCAAGGGGGAAGGTTGAGGATAGTTGGCAGTAAAATTCTAAAATTAAAATATGAATTGCTGGAATCAACTATGCTCGCGCCCATCTTTGAACAAATGATTGGCAGTGTTATGATAGGAACTGATACATATCATTCTTAATAAAAAGTGTGAACACAAAATCAGCATGACTTACTGTGTGTGTGTGTGTGTGTGTGTGTTTCTTCTTGAGCCTAGTGACCATAAAATGAGTCTTTGGCATATGGAGATATTGAGCAGATTACTTTAATATAACAAATTAGATACTATGTGGCACTATCCAATGAAAAAGTGCTTTCTTTGCCAACATGTGACACTTTTTCCTGTGGCAGGAGAAAAATGTTGCCTGCCCACCAATGATGAACTGGCTGCAAACCATGTAAAAAGACATCCACTGCCATCTAGCAGGTAACAATGAAATCGAACTGGGAGTGACACACAGCACAACTAACACCCTATACTGGCAGACAGTAAGCCAGAAGTAATAACAGATTGCTGTGTGGTTGCCATGCCACCATCTTTGATGATATGAAGCGATAATAGGCAGGCTGTATCAGATACATTTTAGTGTTGGATCTTTACGCCGTCATATTGACTGCTGCCTCTCAGAAAATGCGGCTGGCTTAGATAAAATTGACTGCTGAGATGGTTTCTTAAGAGTGATACATTGCTATGATAATGAATGCATTGAAAGCAGGGGTGGACAACCAATGGCCCTCCAGATAGAATGGGACGGAAGCTCCCATCAGCTCCTAGGCAACATAGCTAGTAAGGTGGGATGTGAGACACCCTTGATTTAAGAGCTGGAATAGCAATTAATACGGAACAATATTGATACCCGATATTAATCCCACAGTTATATACATGTTTGAAAGTTCAGTGGGCAGGTCCTTTAACCTTGACGTAAAATAACTTGTAATCCGAGGTTTGTGTTACATATCCTGCTCAGAAGGAAAGCAAAAAGATGTGTTTGCTATCTGAGACCTCTACTTCAAAAACTTCTAAAACCTATCTAGGTACTAGGTGAATAAAAGTCTAGCTAGGTAGATTTCTTTTGAAATAAAGAAGATTGGTGAAGAGTTCTTTTCCTTCACTGATATTTGGAATTTGGCATTCAGAACTCTGTTATGGATAGAGAAATTGCCCCCCAAAATAGTTACCAAGGTACCTGTTCCTTCATTATGTTAAAATGAAAGACATGTTAACATTCCTATAAAGCAACAATAAATTTAATTCTGACATTTCCATGGAAGGAATTGCAAAGTAGCATTTGATTTTCATAGCATGGAAGAAATATCCAGAAATATTACCTGGATGTATGTAAACATATAATCTGACACTGAACAACATCCATGGCTATACATTATGATCCACTTAGAAGTTTCAACTATGAGCTCAAAATAGGTTTTATATCATAATTTCAGTTCATCTATATTAAGACTTGAAAGTCTTGGAAGTCTCAGCCCAGACAGACAAGGGTTCAAGCGTTCAAAACATTTGGTATATTAAATGGTGAGAATCTTTTTCTAGAATTATGCTATTAGCATATAAAGAAGCATTATTGCCTTTGTGTGGTTTAGTGAAGCAATACTAGAACATACTTAGAGAAAATAATATTCCCAATCATAAATATTACTTATGATTCAGCCATAATAGCTTGTTGCCCAATGAAAGTTCCTCTGTTTTGGAACTTTTACAGAAGTTGGGGTTTTCATGATAGTTTTGCTTGCCTTTCCCAGAAATCAGTACTACCACATATTAAAATTCTTCTCATTCTCTTCACCTGCTGTGCTTTGACATTTAGCCATGGTGAAAGCTGACCTCAACTTTAAGTTTTTATTTAATGGAAAGCTGTTTCCATATCATTTTCTTTATTCAATGCAAACATGTTGATCTGAATATATAAGGATGTCAATAAATCTGGCATAAGGAGTAACAGGTTTCCTAAAGGGACTTCTCCACTTTGTCCAAATGAGTGAAATCACCTAACCACATCTCATTGCCTGTTTGAGATTATCATGGTTGCCAAGAATTACATTGGTTTTATTACTGAAGAAAAGGTACTAAAGCAGTAGCCGATTGGGATTGTGCCTTTGAACTCCAGGAAACAAACAGTTTTGGGCTTTCCAATTGTTCCTTTTTCTCAAGGAAAATGTTTGCAAATTATTGTAACCTGGCAAGGACACCCAATCACTTTAGAAGTTAAAAAAAAAACCCAATTGGAATAGCAACTGTTTTGGCACTTCCTCCACAACCAGAAACAATCGAAATAATTATAATTATTGATGAAATAAAAAGATTATTTCGGTACTTTGAGATCTTCCTTTCAGTTTTAAAGGCATTCGCATTGAAACTGCCTTATACTTGCAAGAAGTAACAGGAGCACTCATTTATATTTCCAACTGCAGTTCAAAA